GGAGAGGAAAAAAAATATCCATTTTGTCGAGTCTGCCATCAGCAGAACTAGGTGACTAGGATCCGTCGCCGTCGCCCGCGCGGCCACGACGTTGAGAGGGCCCGGTCCCCCTCTCCCGCGAGGAGGACGGCGTGCCTTCCCCTTATCCGGACAGGCTTCCCCGGGGCTCCCCCTCCAGCGCACCGCCGACAGCGGCGGCCCGGCGGGGGGCTCGCGGGGAGCGGGAAACGACACCACCAGCTCGGCCTCGGGCACCTGCAGGACATCCCGGAGCGCTCCAGGGGCACCCGCCGAGGGCCAAGGCAAAACAGCGACCGCACGCCCAACGGGGAGGCGCGTGCGGCGCGACGACGGGACGCCCCCTCCCCGCCGCGGGGAGGGGCGCCCGCGACAACGCAAGCCGGGAAAGGCGAGCGGAGGGTGTCCGCTGCGTCAGAGAGACCACGGGCGTGACACCGAGGTCGGGCCGGGTTCCGCACCCCTTCCCTTCCACGCTCCGCCGTCGGACGGGGAGGAGAGGAGAGGGGCCCGCGGGCAGAGCGAGAAGAGCGGTCCCATTCGCCAAGGAATGTCCGTCCCTCGGCTGGCGCGGCTTAGGCCCGGCCCGGGAGAGCGCGACGTCACCACATCGATCGAACGGCAACAAGAACGGGTCGAGAAGAAGGGAAACGTGGCGGGGACAACCGTCCGGAACACGAGCCTGCGCTTCAGCCTCGCCACGTAAAGCCCTCCGTTCTCTTCTCACGCGGAGGGGGAGAGCACGGTCCGCGGGGACGGGGCCCGAGACGTACAGCAGCCGGCGCGCGCAGGCCCAAGGCGTACGGCTTTCGCTCGTGCGGCCGGGACGGGGGGGAGTCAGGCTCCGGGTCGCGGCCGAGAAGCTCCCGGGGACACCCCCCGTCGTCCAATCACCCGAGGACAGCGTGTCCACAGTCATCTCGTGGTACAAAATGCCAACTTTAGGCATAACATGGACGGTGCCCGGGGACGGGGGCCTCTGTCTACAGATCACGCCGGACGCCCGGAAGCGAGTCGCGGCCACCGGAGACCCCACGGGACCCCATCGCCACCAAAGAAGGGCGGGGCTATCTGGTCGACCCCCCACAAAGCCCGTAAAGAGCGTGCCACGGACAGGCGGCAGCAAGAGGGAGAGGGCCGGGCCGTCCACGGCCTCCCTCACCACTTCGCACGCGCGGGCAACGGCCCGGTCAAACGTGCTTCCGAATCGGGACTTTGAAAAAATTCCGCGGGGCGCCTAGAACCACCGTGTCGGTGGAAGGCCGGCCACGGCGTCGGCGCAAGCCCGCTCGCGGAAAAACGAACAAACGTACCTGACGACCGGGACCACGCGTGCGCTCGTACCGACCCGCCTCGCCCTCCGCCGTCCTCCACGCACCGCCCGTGCCGGCCCCCACCTACGGAGCTCCGCGACTCGGGTAACGGCCACAAAGTCGAGCCCGGTGACCGCGGCACACTCGGGCACACGCCCGCCCGCGAAGCCCGGGCGACCCCTGAACGCGCGCACGCTCCCGCCTCAGGATCGGGACTTGGAAAAATTTCGCGGAAGGCGCCTCTGACGGACGGACGGACGGACTAACGAACCCGCAGGAGCGGACGCGGACACACGGCACGGGTCGGCCGGCACCTCGCGCAGGCACGCGCCCGCGCCGAAATCAATAGAAGCGGGAGGTGGGGGGGGGCGCCCTCGGGCAGGACGGCGTCCCGGCGCAAGCCACCCTCTCCGGCTACGCCCGCGGCGGCGGCCCCGGTCGGTCCCCGCGGAGGGGCGACAGCGAGTGCCGGGCCACACGTCCCGGCGGCGGCGGGCACTCACTCCTTCAATGGCCCCGCCGCAGGTCCAATCTCCGGAGAACCCGACAGGCACCGACGGAGCGGCGCGAGCCGACCTCTGCGGCTACGCCCGCGGCGGCGAAGGCGGCGGCGGCGGCGGCCCCGGTCGGTCCCCGCGGAGGGGTAACAGAGTGCTGGTCGACCCGTCCTAGCGGCCCACCTCCCCAAAGGCGGCAGCCGCTCACTCCTTCAGCATTGCTGCAGGTCCAATCTCCGGAGAACCGGCCGGGTACCGACGGACCAGCGCCGCCGGCAAGATCCCGACAGCGCCGCCGGCACCCTGGAAGTTGGCCTCGGGCACTGCAGCCGCTTCCCCTCCCTAGATGCTCCGCAAGGAAGAAACGATATAAAAGCGGCCGCCAGGTGGCTCCCGACAAGCGGCGCGAACCTCAGCGGGACGGATCCGGATCTCGGGCCGGCAAGGGCGTCCCGCCGCCCGCCCGGAGGGCCGATCGCGTCCCCGACCCCCACCCCCAACCCCCTCCGGGACGGCACGGCGCCACCGAACGCGGGGGCGGAGGGGGGGGGGTGCCTAGGATAATCTTTTTCGGAGGATGGCCGGAACAAACACGGGGGCGGGCCGAGCGGGCCATTCGAAAGTGAAAGACTTCCTCGGAGTCGCACACCACCACCACCCACCCACCCCCCCCACCCCACCCCCCCACACACACACACCCCGCAGGCCCAAGACGTCCCGGCGCCTGCCTCCCTCTCTCCCTCTCTCCCTCTCTCCCTCTCTCCCTCTCTCCCTCTCTCCCTCTCTCCCTCTCTCCCTTCCCGGGAGACATAAAAAAAATATTTTATTAAATATTTTATTGGTTTTACAGAGAGGAAGGGAGAGGGATAGAAACATCCACGAGAGAAACATCGAGCAGCTAGCTGCCTCCTGCACACCTCCTACTGGGGATGTGCCCGAGACCAAGGTAAATGCCCTTGACCGGAATCGAACCTGGGACACACACACACACACACACACACACACACACACACCCCTTTCCTCCCTGCCCGTCGCGGTGGATAGATAGCGCGTAAAAAAGACGCTTTATATTTTGTCTGTTTCTCTCAGGATACCCCTCGTTGGG